ACTCCCTTCTCCTCCATTATCCTCTCAGGATCTTGGGCACACACACACACACGCCCGGCATGAGTTTAAGCCACCGGGTCTGGGACTCAAACCATGGTAGACTACATGGGAGTCCAGGAACACAGCCATTACGCCAATTTCTGGTTCCCCGGTGTGATTTTCAAGCCACTGATTTCAGGACGCAAACTGCAGTCCACCATATGAGAGTCCAGCACCTTAACCACCATGCCACCTGCTGACCCCTGTGGATCATTTTATATGAACAAGGCAACTCTGTGTCTTAGTTTTCCCATTTAATGAGACATCATAAAAGTAGCTGTACATGGGACTGGAAGGTGGTGTGATGGTTAAGGATGCTGGATTCCCACATGGCTGGCCATAGTTCAAGTCCCAGACCTGGCAACTTGCTTTCTCACTTTCTCTTGCACTTTCTCTATTGCTCTGTCCCTATCTGGTCAAATTAAAAATAAATAAAGTTTAAAAAACAGTAGCTGTACAATATTCTAGGATATGGCTTTTTAACAGTTTAATCAATATCTCACTAATGTGACTACTTTGTTTCTAGTTTTTTGATTGAAACAAGTAATTCTAAATACTCGTGTGTGTGTGTGTGTGTGTGTGTGTGTGTGTGCATGTGTATGAGAACTTATTTCCAACTGAAAAAGCATAGATACACTAAAGTGACAAAGGAAATATAATCATAGATACAGAAGAGTTTAAGAGCATTATAAACTTCATGCTCAAAAAGTAGAAAAGTTTTTACTTTCAAAATAGGAAATTCATAAAAATAGATGAGTTTCTATCCAAATAGAGAAACCTAACCAAGGCAAAGCTTCAAAACAACAATATTGCTTAATAATAAATAGTAATATTGTTTTATATTACTTGGCAGTCTAGGGTACTAATAGCTTCAGATGTGTCTAATCCACAGTTCCAAAAACATTCCCAAGACTTGGAAAATCTTGTTTGCTTCTGCCTAGATGAACACAGACACATTCTCTTTCAGTGACAGCAATTTGACAGGAGGAAACTTCAAGTCTACCTTGTTTTAGAGTCTGTGATCCTTTTATAGTCAATGCTTTATACTTAATGATCCTATATAAATTCTTCAGTTCTAGTCAGAGACATTTGTACATCATGTTTATTGCAGTATGATTCACAGTAGCTAAGACATGGGATCAACCTAAGTATCTAAAACCTGACGATTAGATTAAGAAAATGTCTTACATAGACACAATGGAATACTATTCAGCCATAAAGAACCATAAGATCCTGTTATTTGACACAAAGTGGACCATTTTAAAAGGTTTAATGCTAAGTGAAGTAAGCCAGACTATGAAAGACAAACACTGTAAGTCCCCACTTAATGTATACTGAATGTCTGCACTCTAAGACAGAAATGGAAAGATTTGAAAGTATAAAAGTAGGGAGGGCAACTGTAGAGACTGTATGAAGTTGGGGGATGGGAGTGGAGCTCAGGAAAAATAACGGACACAAAATGCATGGAAACAAAGAAAATAGGTTATGGAATGGTACACCAGCAGAGCAATAAAAGGTGATACAAACCTTGTATATTTCCAAGCAAAACCACCACCACCACCAAAAAACTAGTAGCATTACTATCAAAGGTGCACAGCATAATGTAATGTTCTTAGTTGAAGATTATGAATACATTAATATCCTTGATTTGGTTTTCAGGCATTGCATGCATGCTCTGAAGAGCCATATTGTATCTCTGGGACCAGCAATTGGCATAATGGCTATGTCACTGGACTCCCATGTAGTTGACTGCAGTTCGAGTCCTGGGCCCGGTGGCTTAAAATCACACGAGGTGCATGTGCATTCGTGGCCAAGATCCTGAGAAGAGAATGGATGAGAAGGGATTGCAGCGTGGCCATTCTCCTGGGGGGTGATTTCTCACTTTCTGCCTCTCTGTCTTTCTGGTGAGTGCATGAACCCTACATAGCAAAAACCTCTCAAAAACAGAAAGAAAGAAAGAAAGAAAGAGTCATATTGTATCTCACAGAAACGAATAAAATTAAAATGCAAATCAGAAATTATAATATAAAAAACAAGGAACTTATCCTAAAATAAAAATAACAAGTACTTATACATATTATATATCAATGTCCAACAAAAAGAGACTGAGGTAATACATTTTAGTAAATACATACATGGAATAATATATAACTTAAAATACATGATTACAGATATATGCAAAAGATTTTAAGGTACATAAAAATTAAATATACTGTTAAGCAAAGAAAAACGAAATTAATTTCTTATATTATATTAACATATGTTATTAACAGAAGCCTAATGGCCAGAACTGAGCCATGTGTGCCTTAAATTTTTAGCAGTGAGGCAGTTGTCCTCTGGCAGCTGCCCCACCCACATGCCTTTTAGGCATGGGGGTGTATTTCCTTTTAGTAAAAATCTTTCTCTTTTTTTTTGCTATAGGGCACGTGTGCTTGCCAAAAAGACAGAGAGAGACAGAAAGCGAGAAATCACCCCCTGGGGGGGATGGCCATGCCGCAATCCCTTCTCCTCCATTCTCCTCTCGGGATCTTGGGCACGCACGCACACACGCCAGGCGTGAGTTTTAAGCCACCGGGTCCGGGACATGAACTGCGGTCGACTACGTGGGAGTCCAATGACATAGCCATTATGCCAACTGCTGATCCCCCTTTTATTAGAAATCTTTACTCTTCTTTTAAAACTTTTCTTCTCCTACTTTATATGTGTTTGTGGTTTTTTATTCTTCATCTCAGGACAGGTCTCTGAGTGATCTGGACCTAAAGAACCTAGAATTTTACACCCTGAAGCTCAGCTCTCCCATCCTCTAGCAGCACTCCCTGCAGGCAGCTCACTCCCTGCAAGCTCCTTTTGAGCAGAACTAAGCTTGTCAATGAACTGGCATTTCTCCTCAATATGATTGCTACTCCATCTGCAGGCCTCTTCTCTCTTCTTACTTAAAGTCAGCTTCTAAGAGACCGAACAAGCCTAAATAAAAACAAGAAGCCCAAACAAAGCCCCTCTCTGATATAGACATATTCCTTTTGCAACCTCAGAGGTACAAAATGCCAACAAAAACTGTTTCGTCTGTCAACAGAGATACAGAGACTGCAGATGGCTATAGGGAAGATCCCCAGGGACAAGGCTCTACACGTGGCTGGCAAGTGGATTACACTGTACTAATGCCAGTAGCCCTGATGGGGGCAGTACAGATGGGTTCTGATAAGAGTAGATACCTGGTGGGAGATGGAAATTCCAAAGCACTATTAAAGGATTAGAGCAGAAGACACAGTTTATTCCTTTGTGTTACATTTATGCACACAGTGGAATGCAGTTTACAACCCACAGCGTCCAACAGTGGCAAAGAAATACTACACTGAATGTGCATAGACTGTCATCCCCATAGTAAAGGTTTAATAGACAACTGGAGTGGGCAGTTGAAACGTGTGCTATTCAAAACCGGAAGATAAAGGTTTACATGCAGCCATTGCTGCGTGTTCACATGCAACATGATCCAGGGGGTTCCTACTGGATCAATTCTCCATTTTTCTGGGGTGGGAGAAGATACTGGCATTACACATAATTCTTTCCTACATCACCTCAATTTTGTTTTTTCCTTCCTGATGCAGTGGTCCCAGGACCAAGGATGCAACTGTGGGTGCCAGAAGCAGAGATGACTCATCAGCAAGGCATTTTAACTATACCTTTAGACCTCTACGTCAGACTTCCTAAAGGCCTACCTGGAATGGGCTGTGCCTTCACCGCATCTGGCAAAGTTAGGTGAACAGTAAATGTCACTACCTTGCCTAATGGTTGGGATAGCCCACT